CCTATGTTTAGAACACTCTTTAGATTTCTCAGAAGTTATAAATATTCCTAAGATAATAATTCTAAATTAATCTGCCGTACATTAGTAATAAATATATGAGACTGAAAAACATGTTTTATAAAAACTTTGCGTTACTAAATTGCAAAATGACAGAATAAGTATGGAAATACAAATTTCGATATTTCCTTGTTTTAAGTTTGTTTTAATTTGTAATTAATCTATCTTGTCTGATATCAGAACAAGCCCACGAAATTCATCGTGGCAAGGAGGCAAGAACGCGCCTGTCGTTGACAAAAGCCTTGGGCACCATACAATTGACAGTAGCACTTTCACCCCCAATTTTGAACGAGTTCACCCCGGAAAGCTGTCCAAAGGGTCTTTCACCTCTCTTCTCCTACCACTAACCTCTCGAGAGGACTTTTGGCTCGCCGCATATTTTGAGTGCCCCCCATGCCGCACAGACACTATACGTTTACAAACATCTATGCCTTCTCCGAGATTCGAACCTGCTTCTTTCGGTACAGCAGTCGGAGTCACTAACCACCATCCCTATTGGACGGCTTACTTTAAGTGTTTTGTATAAGAACTGATTGACAGGCATTAAAACTGATTCTATTGTTTTCCCGATATTAGGCGTGACAGTGGAATATTGTGAAAATTACAAATCGAAGTGTCTGAACCTGCAGTTGGACATCCAGGCCTTCAGTATTCGGTTTCAGCAAAAAGAAGCACCTTGTGTTTCGTCGTCGCGAGTGAGACATCTTTGTAAGTAAACGGTAAATTTGTGACTGAATTTTTTGTAAAATTTGGCAAGCGCCATAACGAAACATCTAAAATATTACATTATGCATACCGTGAAGAAACATTTTATAATGCTTCAGAATCTCAATGATACAAAGCATTTCAGGGTAGAGGCACATATGGGCAAACAGTGAATGGTTACTATTTTGTTACTGTATTGAAAAGCATTGGAGAGTCTATTAAACTTTTCGAAGCAAGAAACAGGAAAAATCGCCTACGCCAACACCAGTCCTCTCGACTACTAGCCGGGTTGGTTTATTTAATTTTCGCAAAGTACGGAAGGCTATCTGCCTAAGGAGAGGGATGCCTTCGTGGAGGACTATCTAAGGGAAACTGGTTCGTATGCACGTTATACATGGGGAAAACCACGGAAACGCCCATGCAACTAGCCCGTTCGCTTGGAATTGAACTCACATCGGAACTACCAGTGTTCAGCGACTTTACCGCTCGGCCACTGTTGGGCGCCGATTTGCAATTAAATGCCGACTGCTAAATGGACTTGTTTCCAATTAAACCACGAAGGTGCTCGATAAGGAAGGTGAAAATTCCTTATATTCTTCCCCACTTAAGTGGGGTGGGAAAGAATATAAAGAATTTTCACCTTGGGCACCATACATTTAACAGTAGCACTTACTGACTGGGCGTGTGGGCGTGGGGTTGCTAAACTGAGGTAGTTACGAATTATTGTCCACCACATTTTAGTTCGAGCACCACTTAGAGAGTATTGACAATTTTTTCGAACATGAAATGTGAGAAAATCAGCTATGCCCTCTGTCGGTTCGAATTCGGGCAACTCGTTTGTCAGCCGGAAATGCTTCTAATTACATCATAAAAATATGCACTAAGGAAAAACAGAATTCCTTACGCCATTGCTATGAGGATTCTTCCTCATAGCAATCATAAGACCGGATTTTCTCTTGTGATATGGTTTTTCTCCAAGAGAATATCCAACTGCATAACATTGCATCATCATTGTCAGCACTACCTGCAATCGATCTGTCAACATTAGAATATCCTGCATATAGGCGTGACTTATTCACTTGTGATTTCTGGACGCTTTGAGCATTAAGAAGACAATTACATCGGAAGTGGAGATGTTTCAGATGAGAAAATGCAAAATAGTATTGTCGTAACGAAAACTGGTAGAATGATAGAAATTAAAAATGCTGTCCCAAAACAGTGAATTTTATATCTTTGAATCGTCGAGGAAAGTGTAATTCAATGTGAAGGACTCAGATTTCAAAAAGAAAAGGAAATACAAAATACATAGATTCAACTGAATCTGAATATGAGATTCAGTCTTAAAATTTTTCAATAATTATGACAATAATCAAAATATAGAGTCATTAGGTTAATTGGAAGCAGAAAAGATTAAAAATATGCAACCGCCTTCGCTGGGGATCGAAGCATGGACCTCTGGAATACCGGCCCAGCGTGCTACCGTTACACCACGAAGGCACGCTAGTGAAGTGGGAGAAATATCTTTTAACCTAAGTAATTATCTTTCTAAAGATGAAAGGTACTAATATGAATGTATAATGACAGCAGTACATTACTGCCCACTTCCGTTACAAAGCATTTTTGCAAAATCCTCTTAGGCGAAGCAAAAGCTAAATTATAATTAAAAATCTACATTGGCTTTTACTGTAGTAAGATCAATAATTAATTGAAATAGCTTTAAGAATGTTAATTAATTAATTATAATATAACGGTTTCATTCATCGCTGTGTTATTTGACATTTTCAAACAGTCTCACGCGCTGGAGATGAAAATGTTCTCTCTCCCGCGAACACTATTGCCATTGCTTACATTTAAATCGTTGAGTTTCAAAAATTCAAAAACTTTTCAAAGTTTTACAAAATTATGAAAATTCTAAATGCAAAATTCGGGCTTCGAAGTGCCATGTTCGGTTGGAGAGCTTGATATCTCTAGGTACCGTCGTTTTGTCACAGTACGAGGAACGTCCATACATACATGCAGATTCTTCATTATTTAATTTCTGAAAATATAAGCGAGGGTGATAATATTTGGTGGCAACAATTTGGAGACTGATACGCCTTTTACAGTGAACTAAAGCAAAATCCTATTTCAAGACTAATAGCCCCTTTTGGTATAATAAGTAATGTTAAAGTAAGGTGGATCAATTATTTGATTTTACAATCTAACTTAAACTTTCCACAACAATTAGCAATAAAATTAACAAAATAAATGAATTTATGAAATTAATGAAAAACTTCACTATGCACAAGGTTTTGGGTAAAACCAAGTGCTAAATATTAATAAACATTGATCAGATAAGTGCGTCCATACAAACGATACTGAGTTTTCCTTTCTATATCAAGCCAACTGTATATTCATTTACAAGATAAAATTTTTTTTTGGAAATAAAAGTTAGATAATTTCAAAGTGCAGGGCATGATTTCCGCAGGGCAGGTACCTAGGCTCATCTTGTAGAGTCATTAGGTTAATTGGAAGCAGAAAAGATGAAAAATATGCAACCGCCTTCGCCGGGAATCGAACCACGGACTTTTGGAATACCGGCCCAGCGTGCTACCGTTACAACACGAAGGCACGCTAGTGAAGTGGGAGAAATACCTTATATACTCCCCTTTATAAAGGGCGACTAGGGTTTTAGGGGACCTAGTCGCCAAATCCTGGGTGCGGAGAATCATCATCCACAACCCTTTTAGTTCGGGTGCCACTTGTAGAGTCATTAGGTTAATTGGAAGCAGAAAAGATGAAAAATATGCAACCGCCTCCGCCGGGAATCGAACCACGGACCTCTGGAATACCGGCCCAGCGTGGTACCGTTACTCCACGAAGGCACGCTAAAGAAGTGACAGAAATATAATCTTTCAAGGTGATCTTCAAATTCTGCCAAAAAAGCATTTACGTACTATATGTAAACTTTATCTAATTTTTCTATTTTAGATTTAAAAGTGTAAAACTAGAACCAGAATCCACAAAAGAAATTAGAACCAAAATCCACAAAAGATAAACACACAGAAATCCACAAAATTCTGAATCCAGAGAAATCCACATTCACAGAAATCCACAAACAATAAATTAGAACCAGAATCCACAAAAGATAAATTAGAACCAGAATTCACAAAAGGTAAAATTAGAACCAGAATACACAAATAAATAATTTTTCCACATTTGAAAAAAAATTAATTTTTTAATTTTAACTTTTATGTATACGTGTGATTATTGAATTAATAAACAATTTAAGTATATTAAATTCGTCATAACTTTGTAACTTTATTTTATAGCAAAATCAATAAATATTCTTCAGGTTCTATCTTTCATTTCCCCCCCCCTCTTTCCTTCAGAGAAAAACAAAATCATGGTTTAAAATGTGTAATTTTATATTTTATGCAATACATGCTAAACTGAAACCATGGGGGGGGGAAGTATAGAAACTTGATTTTTATTTTTTCTTTTAAAATTAGATGGTTTTTGTAACAGTTTTCTCCTCAGTTTTGTATACCGGGACCTGCTACTGTAAATATCTCTGAAACTTTAAATCATTATATTAAATAACACAGTTGGCGCTTAATTTTTTTGTAAAAAATTAAAATTCCTTTCTCTTAATTCAAAAATTAATTCTTGCAAATTTTTTCAAAAAAATATTCATAGTTTATCCTTAAAATGTTTCTGAAAAGCTCGTTCAAAATCCGAGAAAAAAAATAACCTCATTAAGTGGAATAATAATTTACTTCTTTTTATTTAAAAATAAAAAAAAAGTTTAAATCCAAGTCTTAATTTCTAAAATTAAAAGTGCCGGAACTTTGTGGATGACCGTGTGGCAAGATGGGAAAAAATAAACTAATAACAATTAAAACTTGAGTGCATCGAAATAAATAAAAATTAATACATTAAATTAATGACATATAGTTCATAAAATTTAAACACCGGAATTCATCTTATTTAGGGTTCAAGGTAGAATTAAAATTTTCTTCAATAATACCAGATCTGGTTTCTAATAGGCTATTGGTCAGTTATTTTTTTAAATTATGCACCTCTATTAAAATGACGAGTCATTTGCAAGCGTTCACCAAGGATGTCAAATAACCACCAATTGTTCTATAAAATATAATACCTATCGAAATACTTCTGAACGTGTAAATTAACCAACAAACAATGAATTTCTCAACATGCTAATTCTTTGAATTTGCAACAAGAAGCAGTAAGCTTACCCTAACTGTGCAAATCAGATCAGGAACTCCTTTCCTGATTGAAAGGGTATCCTCGTGGAATCCTAAGAGGACTGGCAGATCATCGGTGGTAGCCACTTTCCTTCCAGCCAGGTGACGTCACATACCCACCCCCGCCGATGTGAATCTAAAATTAAGTTTTTCCTGTCTCGAGTTTCAAGCACTCCGTTCTGTTCTTCTTTGCCAGGTTATGATCACCCTGGAATTTTAAATCAAGGTCTTGTTCCAGATACAGAGAGCTGAATTATGATGTCATCCATCCACAATGTGTGGTACCCCTTTGAAAAATTTAGGATGTCTTTTCTAATCTGATAATTTTAATTGTGTCCTGAATTTTATGAATTTCAAAAAGGATAACCTTAAATTTCTACTTGTATGTAAATGCTATGCTGGAGAGATAAATTTTGAAACTATAGATTTTAGGAGCTTTTTCACAAAAGCGGTGCAACTCAAGAAGCCCTAAAAAGTACAAATACTTTTGTAGAGAGAGATATATATGTTGCTGCAAAGATAATATTTAATTTATTTAAATTACCTTGATTGCTGCAAAGATAATATTATTTATTGAAAGGATAATATTTAATCCTGCGTTGTTGTTGAAAGATAATATTTAATTTATTTAAATTATCTTGATTGCTGCAAAGATAATATTATTTATTGAAAGGATAATATTTAATCCTGCTTGTTGTTGAAAGATAATATTTAATTTAATAAAGTTGTAAAGATATTAGGCTATTTCGAAGCAGGAGACATGAAAAATGAGCAATGCCTCGACGGAACTCGAACCTCGGACCTCTCGAATACGCGCCGATCGTGCTGACCATTATACCACGAAGACATTCTAAAAAGCTGAAAGAAATACCTTATATAGTACCACTTTTAAAGGGCGAGTGGGGATTAGGGGACCCAATCGCCAAATCCTGAGGGGTGGAGAATCATCATCCACCACCCGTTTTTAGTTCGGGTGCCTCTGTAGAGCCATTAGGTTATTTTGAAAGCAGAAGACTTAAAAAATGAGTAATTATCTCGCCGGGACTCGAACCTCGGACCTCTCGAATACGCGCCGAACGTGCTGGCCATTATACCATGAAAGCATGCTAATAAGGTGGGAGAAATACCTTGTAGATTAATGATATGAAGGAAATTATCTCCTAGGCAATTCGAAGCGAAATTTAGAACGCAAATATGGTTTATTGAATTGAAATTTTTAAATAAATACGCTGGAATTGTCAATTAAAATGTAAACGAAAAGACTAAAACAAGAGTATTACTCGTATTTTTGGTCAGCTTAAGTAGTTTCTTATGTGTATAGTCTCAGATTACGTTAACTGCATTTTGAATTTAATTTCATCTTATGTTAATTTAAATAACCGCAAGTGAGAAGGGTTCGTCTATCACACAAGAAGTGTGTTTCTGTTCATTTAAGAATTAAATAAAAAAGTTATTTTAACCTTCTCAAGTTACATTAAGTTGGACTTCTTAAGTTGGACATTTGTTACAGATTAAAGTGATAACTCACTTTTTTGTGTAGTAAGGTCTATGGACACTGACGTAAGCTTCTAGGTACAGCAGAACCCCGCAGTGCTTTTTGTAAATCTCCGTGCTTCCTTCTAGTACTGTGGATATGTTTTAGCAATTCTACAAGAGAATTCACATTATATGGATAGCTGGTTGTTTTATGATGAGTGTCATGTTCTCCTCAATTGTCATATAAATAAATAAAACATGCGTTTCCTCTTTTTATGCTGGCAGAAGAGTAATGAGTATGCACAAAGCCCACTCTGTCCGATAAAAGTAACCGATTGGCGATTTGAAGTTATGATGTTATCGGTCCCTATTTCATCGAAGATGAGTGTGGTAACATAGCAGCAGTAATAGCTAAGAAATATAAAGATAGGTTTTAGACCGATTGCGTGCAGATTTACAATCATTTTGTGGTCTGCGTAGTCTCTATTTAAATCAACAAGTTTTCCAACAAGACGGAGCCACCGCCCTCTAGAGAACAAAGCAATGTTACAAGAACTTTTTCCGGGGCTAACTGACGATTTTTTCCAGGGCGGACTAAACAATTTTTTCCAGGGCTGACTGACTGTCCTTTCCTTTTAAAAGTACAGACCTAACGATACGTGGTGCTTTTACTATGGGAAATGTTGAAAGATTAATACTTCACACTCGTCCCACGAATTGTTGAAGATCTTCGTTACAATATCTAATCAGTAATTTAGGGATATAAACCCTGAGCAGTGTTTCTTTATGTTGTCAGTAATCACGTAACATCATTCTATGTTTTCACATTCATACGTTGTATGGAATGTGTACTTATCCGTAACGAAAGGCATGTAGATAATGTTATGGCTACAAAAAAAAAAAAAAAAAAAAAAAAAAAAACTGAAGGATCTATGCTTCGGTTACCTCTTTCCACTCCAACTCTAACATCATGACAGCATTTATTTATGCGTTTACTTATTTTTACATTCGTCAAAACGACTGACAAACATATCCAATGTTTTGGAATTTGATTGGAGTTGATGGCATGAAATATGGCTGGGAAATGAGGCATACTTATATAGCAAGTTCCACAAAAGCGCTGGATTTAATATGCCCCAAAATACTCTAGTATTAGGAAATGAAAAATATTTTTACATACTTACAACAAGCAGATGTTCCGATTTAAGTATGTTAAATTTGAATTGACCTGGCAAGACCGGCAATTCATTTCGCAACTTAGTCGACTTGGAGCCTTCTCGTTGTAGTTGTGTCCAACAGCGAGATTTGATTGTAAAAATTCATTACAAAAATGATGAGTGTTATGCATAGACTGTTAGAAATCTCTCTTCGGGCAATCGGTTTGACGGGACAATGCACCTAACGAAACAACAATTCGAAGACTGGTAAAGAAATTTAAGAACATAGGTTGGAGAGCAGACATTAAATCTTTATGCTCTCGACCCAGCCGGTTTGTTGAAAACATAGCTGTTGTGCATGACAGAGTTATTGAAAGTCCCAAAGAATTCGAACTTATAGGATTAAACCAAAAGAACTTAAGGGTACCGTGGACTTTTAAAATAGCTAAAAAATCAACCAAAATATTGAATTTCCTTTTTTTACTCTAGTAATATTCCATATACCTAATTACATCGTCTGAAAAAAAAATAACGAGTTCAAATATTCTAATTTTCAAAGAAGTTATAAGCATTTAAAATGTGCAAATAACGCAAAATTTGCCCTTTAAATATCGGAGAAAATGTAAAAAAATGCAATGCAGTAGTTATATACTGATGTTATAATTTATATTTTTGCCCAAAAGAAGTTTTTATTTCTAAGAAAAGACTAGAAATGTCAGTTTGTCAACTATTAATGAATTTAACTATGGTTATGTAAATACTATACGCGTAGAGCAGCAGGAAACAAACTCGTTTTCCCTACTTGTTGCAAAAAAGAGGGATCAGCGTTGGAAAAAGCAGAAATAGGACAAATTATTTAAAGTATTAAACGGTAATATAAATGTAAGAAATGAAGGTAAAATATATAGTGCGGGTAAATTTTAAGGTTCATTGGATATCCAATGAATGAGATTTATGCATTATATAATGTATAAATTGTTTCCGCCTATAACTTCGAATCACATAGCAATTTCCGATATGTTTATTTTTGTCGTGTTTAATACTATTATTAGATTAAAAATAGTTAAATGATACGAAAATGCTATCTAATGTTTACAAATTCAGATTTAAATTTGCTCTATTAAAGGTAAGTTTGAAGTTTCTGCCTATAATTTGTGTTTCAGGTTAGAAAACCTGACACGGTATATTATTGCCGCGTTAATTCTTTTATTGATATTGAAAAAAAGCTCTTATATTCCATTAAATTTAAATCATGATGTCATACGTATTAACCTGAAGTGTCAAAAGTTTTTGTTTCCTCGTTTGGCAAGGAAAAAATATGTTTACGAATTGGTTGCTCCTTGGAAAGAATGAATTGATTTCATTCATATTGAAATGTTTTTATATATTTTCTTTTCAAGTGTACATAGAACTTATAAATTTTGCTTTGGCTATAGCCCGCTAGTATGTACATAAGAAATGAATTTTTAGAGACTTTTAAATTAAATTCCGCTTGAAAAGAAAGTAGGATTAATTTAAAGAGGTTTAAAGTCTCAGGAAATTCATTGGAACGACACATATTTTTCGTCACTCATTAATCAACTTGGTTTAAGGCTTCAAAACGCTTTTCCCTTGAGAAGCTCAGTTTGGAGCAAACAAAGGAGATTAATTTTTTATTGTTTTGGTTTTAATATGTACAAATTTACTGTTTTTTTTAATACTTTTTCCTCTTTGAAATGAACATTTTTTATTACAATTTTGTAATTTTCTTTAATTTGCATTTTTACCGGTTGATTTTGTTACACGGAGAAAATAGGTTTAACCTTCAAATATTTACGGCATTTTCTTTTTCGTTCCGATTTTTGAGATTTTTGATTTAATATATATGTAGAGAGAGAGAGACAGAGAGAAATCACTTTTAATTAATACACCGTTTCAAAAAATTTCATGTACTCAATAAAAGCTAATAAAACTTTCCTATTAATGGCGCTGTAGATTTTTATGAATCATGATCGAAACTGTCATTTTCTCGAATCTTAGCAATTTAATACTAGACTGTGAGTCAGAAGAAGCACAAGCAGGCTTCTTTTCAATTTAAAAAAAAAAGTAAAGGGTTCTTGAAAAGCAGTATTTATATCTAAGAATACATCAGTAACAACGAGAGGTCTGCCAAAAGATGACAAGAGCAAGGAGTTCCATAAAAAGAATCAAGGAGGTGCCAAGACTAGCTGTCCGAAAATAATTGGAACAATATTGAAAAGAAAAGAAATGGAAACTGAAAAATAATTGTAGATTTTTTTACATTTAGTAAAAAATTTCACGTTTGCATGATTATCTGAAAAATAAAATGGCATCTTTGTTAATGATATTCGGTTATGCAAATGCGGTTCGAGAAAGCGGTTGGTGATTTCAACTCAACTTTATTTTTGATTTTCCACTATTTATGCTTTATTTTAGAGAGACTTTTATAAATTTGTGTACACTGCTATAAAAAATTACCGTTTTTTTATATGAATGT